GAGTGGAAAAGCCTCGTGAAAATGATCCCGGGCGGCGGCGGCGGCACCGGGCACGAGGCGGCACCGGGCAGGCAGCGGCACCGGCGAGGCCCCGCGTGGGGTTTGGGGGGCTCAGCCCCCGGGTCACCCCCTTTCCCCCATCCCATCCCAGCCTGGGTCCCCGAGCCATGGGGACCGCTCCATCCCTCGGCCATCTCCATGGCGACTCGCTGTGCCAGGCGCATCGCCATGGCAACGGGCCGGGCCACGCAGCCTCGCCATGGCGACTGTCGTCATCGCGCTCTGTCGCCATGGAGACCCTCCCCATCTCCCCAAATCCACTCCCTGCCGGGCTCCCCCCAGCTCGGGGCTGGGGTGGGGGCGCTGCTTCTCGGGGTGGGGGTCTCCAAAGGCACCCGGGAGGTGGGATGGGGGTCCCCAGGGACTGCGGCACCCGGGGATGGCGGGAGCACCCCAGGGTGCCCCTCACCGGGGTCCCTGGGGCTGGTGGGAGCGGCTGAGCTGTACGATGGTAGCCCTGGAGCCGCTCCCGAGGGATGTGACCTGAGGCTCCGGGGGATGCGGCTTGGCACCCCCAGCCCCTTGGCCTTTGTCCCTGGTGCCACCCAGGTGTCCCTTCACCTGTGCCCACCCGTCTGGCTGAGGCCTGACACACTCAGTGCACTGCCGGGAGGGCCACCCGCTGCCTGTCCCTGCTTTTGGGGGGCGATGGAAGGAGCCACGGCCACGGGCAGCCCCCAGCACCCCCGTGTGCCGCATCCCCCCAGCACCGGGCCCTGACAGCCCCCCGAAACGGGCCCTGGCAGCCGCCATCTGCCACGGGGGGCACCGGGGCCGCTGCCAGCAGCACCTGACCCGCCACGGTGGCACTGCCAGTGTGGGACCCCCGACCCGCCACGGTGGCCATGGAGAGGCTGCTGTGGCCAGTCCTGCAGCCTGGTGACGTCACAGAGCGGTTGTGATGTCATAGACCTTTGTGATGTCATCAGGCTAGCCTTGTTACCTCAGCAGCAGCCAGCTCTGCTGGTGGCACAATGGCAGCCCTGGGTTGGGGTCCCCTGTCCCAGCCCCCTCACCGTCCCCAAAGGACATCTGACCCCCTCAGGTGACAGAGGAGCGTGGGGCAGGGGGTGTAAGTCCCCTGTGTCCCCACCCCGTGATCATCTGTCCTCAGCGCCACACGGAGCCGTGGCTCTGGCAGTTTCCCACTGGGCAATTCCCAGGTGTCATTTTCCTAATTAACAACGTGTGGCTTAAAGAGCACTTGTCAAGTCCCTGGCCTGTGTGTGAGTGTGGGGGCCAGGCTGGGGGGCCAGGCTGGGGGGCCAGGCTGGGTGACATGTTGGGGACACAGGCTGGGTGACATGTTGGGGACACAGGCGGGGGATATGAGCAGGAATTCGGATGCCCTGGGAGCAGGATCCAGTGGGTGAAGCAGCCACAGCACAGCCCCAGGGCTGGCACAGCATCTCCCCATCCTCCTCTGGCAGAAGATGAAGGAGTTCCCAAAACCCCCCTGATGCCAGTTCAGCCAGGGCCCCCCCTCTCTTCCCTCAGTTCCCTCCTCCATCAGCTTCCTCCTCCTCCCAAGCTCCCCACCCATGACCCTGCAGTCACCACTGCAGGGACATTTAGGGACACGGGGACAGGCAGGGCACCACCCACCCCTCCCCATCCCCCAGAGCCCCCCACCCGCAGCTGGGGCCCTGCTCACCCGGTGACTGGAGGATGCCCAGGGATGGGTCCTACGAGGGAGGAGCTGCTCCAGGGACCCGGCCCGAAGGCAGCGAGGACAAGGACGGGGACAGGGACGGGGACAGGGATGGGGACAGGGATGGGCTCAGCTCCTGCTCCCGCTGCTCTCCTCCCCTCAGTGACATTCCCGGCGGTGGCTCCGCCGCACGTTAGCGCATCCATCTCTCCCCAGCCTTCACCTCCCAGAAATATTGCAGTGCAGAGCCGGCTCCATCTGGCAGCGGCCCCCGCCTCCCCCCGCCACCGCTCGCGGGGAGATGCCGGAGCCGGATCCATCGCTCGGGCCCCGCACGGATCGGCCTCGCCGAGGGGCAGCAGGGACCCCACCGGCCATGGGGGACAGCTGGGATGACCCCCGTGCCACCCCGGGGAGGGGCAGCGTGGCCTGGCCGAGGCGCTGGCCCCACGCGGGGGCTGTGGCACCGGCTGAGCCCCGGCGAACTCGCCCCACGCTGGGCCCCTGGAGCCGCCACGGGCCCAGCTGGCTCCCAGCCGCGTCCCGGCACCACCCAGCACCCGGCTCCCACCGCCGGCTCTGCCAGCGCCGAGCTGCTTCTGTGCCCTCACCGTGTCCCTCCCCGTGGCACGTGTCCCCTGACACCCCGGGGACGGAGCCGTCGCTGCCGCAGGCAGGGTCCCCGTCTGCATCCATCGCCTTCCTGCTGGAGGATGGATTTTGGAGGAGGAAAGAGCTTCATGCCTCAGCCAAACTCCTCGCTGTGTGCCTGGCACCGGGGCCACCAGAGACAGAAGCGGGACCAGAGGTGGCAGCGCTGGGACAGCCGGTCCCTGCACACGAGGACCATCAGAGGGATGGGGAGCAGAGCCCCGGGGTCACTGGGACCATCTCCCCCAGCCCCCACACCCAAAAAGGCAGCACCCAGCCCTGCCCCTGCTCCCACCCTGCTCCCCAAACTGTGCCTGGTGCTGGGTTCACCTCAACCTCACCTGCCCCTGCTGCACAGGACAGCCACAATTCCCGTGGGATGGATGCTGCTCATCCAGCCCCTGCTCACCTCCCTGGATGAAGCCCCTTCCCAAAGTCACCCGAGGATGAGGATGGTGCTGCCCCTGCTCTGCTCTGCCCTGTGCCATCAGCAGCCACGGTGGAGGGGACAGCACAGGGACAACACCGGGACCCCACTCCTGCCCTCTCTGTGGGCCGTGTCCAGGCACAGCCCGGCCACGAGGCAGCAGTTTGGGTTTTCATCTCCCTGCTCCCCTTTCATCTCCTCTCCCCGTTTCATGTCTCCACTTTCTTCTCCCTCCAAGCTCTGCGCATGCTGATGAGCCTCACGCCGGCGCCCACCCTCGCGCTCACCGGCTGCTAATTAGGCTGTAATGGGTACACTGGGCCAGGGCCTTGCTGCTCGTCCCTGTCCCCACCCTTGTCCCCACACGGGCCAGCTCGGCCACTCACGCTGGGGCATCTCCTCGGCCTCAGGCAGAATCAGGGCCCCCATCGGTGCCCCACGGGCCCTAAGTCTGATGCCAGGAATGGGGCACCGATGGCTTCACTGCCCTGACACCCAGGGTGTGGCCACCCTCCAAGGGCTGGGTGTCCCCCGGCCTGGGGACCGATGGCAGAGGAGCGGTGACTTACCCAGAGCGGGCTCTGACCTGCCACAGGCATCAGGTGAGGGTGGGCTCGTGGAGCACGGCGTCCCCAGCGGGTCACCCACCGGCAAAACGAAGATGGCAGCGACAGAGGGAGCTGAACGGCGCTGAGGGAAAGGGACACCTTGTGCCAGGAGGATGCCCGGGAAGCTGTGCCCAGCGTGGCACCGGCAGGGCCGGGGTGGGCCCTGCCTCCCTGCGGGCCGGCTCCAGCCCAGGTGCCATCTGCTCGGCCGCAGCCGTGAGTGACAGTCGGAGGGTTCGCGCCGGGGGGACGCTCGCCACCGGCGGAGCCCCTCTGTCACGTGCCAGCCCCGGCACCTGCACCGGGGGGAATGGGCACCGCTGATGGCCCTGGCAAAGCCCCGGTGGCCGGGCACGGCCAGCCCTTTGTGTGCGTGCGGGCACAGCCACCACCGTCACCGTGTCCACGTCGTGGTCACGCCACCCTCACCTAGCGTGTACGGCCGGCACGTGCTGGAGTGTGGCACCCAGCCCCTCAGGCCGGGCACGTCCTGATCCCCCGGTTTTGTGGGGACAGGAGATCCAGGACACGACATTGGCCTCGATGGATGCGGCCAGGACCGGAGCTCCGGGTGATGGGAAGTGGCTTCTGGGGACACCGCGTGCCCATTTAGGTTCTGCGGCCCAGCTGCTGCCCCAAAAGGGCAGTGGCCATTTCTGGGTGCCCAGCCACTGTGGTGGGGACAGATTTGGGGACCGGAGGCTGACAGAGCCATGAGGAGTTGCCTGACAGACAAAGGCCTCGTTGGCTGCATCGCTGCACGGCCGGGCCTCGGGATCCCACCACCACGGTGGGATCGGGATCCGTGGAGGCTCAGCCCCCGTGCGCTGAGGGAGGCTGTGAGTGTGCAAGGGGATGTGTGTCGGTGTGTGTGCACACAGAGGGTGTGTGGGGCCGTGCCATGGGGTGCAGGGACACTGGCGTGGCCGTGTGGCCACGGGGGTGCCACCACGTCCATGTGCCACCCGCATGGGGACACACGGCCCCGCAGCCACCAGCCCTGCCCACGCCACACCTGCAGCCCCCCGCCAGCACCGGCGTGGCCAAAGCGGGCACTGCCACCACCTCTGTCGTGCCCGGCCGCAGCCCCCAGCCCGCTCCAGGCCCTCGCCACCGCAGCCATCGCCGCTCGGCTGCTGGCTGAGGGTGGGGACGGACCTGGGCGAGCCGCCGCGGCATTTTGCGGCGAGCCGCAGATGCCAGCTCCCAGCGAGGGTCCCCGTGGCATCTCCCCCCTCACCCCAGCGCCCGCCTGTGTCCCCACCACGCTTGGCCCAGCCGGGATGGCCGGTTTTCCCGCTGGCTCCATTGTTCCTCCCGGCCCCGCCATCGCCTGCATCTCGCCCGGGTCCCATTTTGCAGCGTGTAGGCAGAGCTGGAGATTTGGAAGAGGTTTTTTTTTTTTTTT